CGGGGCGGTGCGTGCGGGGGCGGGGGGCGGGGCGGGGGCAGGCGCGGAATGGGGAGGAAGGGAGTTAAAATAGTCCTTCACTCAAGAAATCCAGTTCCGCAGAATAGAGAGCCCAGAAATGGACCCTCAACTCTATGGTCAACTCATCTTTGACAAAGCAGGAAAGAATGTCCAATGGAACAAAGACAGTCTCTTCAACAAATGGTGTTGGGAAAATTGGATAGCCACATGCAGAAGAATGAAACTGGACCATTTCCTTACACCACACACAAAAATAGACTCCAAATGGTTGAAAGACCTCAATGTGAGACAGGAGTCCATCCAAATCCTAAAGGAGAACACAGGCAGCAACCTCTTTGACCTCAGCCAAAGCAACTTCTTCCTAGAAACATCGCCAAAGGCAAGGGAAGCAAAGGCAAAAATGAACTATTGGGACTTCATCAAGATAAAAAGCTTTTGCAAAGCAAAGGAAACAGTCCACAAAACCAAAAGACAACCGACAGAATGGGAGAAGATATTTGCAAATGACATATCAGATAAAGGGCTCGTATCCAAAATCTATAAAGAACTCATCCAACTCAACACCCAAAGAACAAAGAATCCAATCAAGAAATGGGCAGAAGACATGAACAGACATTTTTCCAAAGAAGACATCCAAATGGCCAACAGACACATGAAAAAGTGCTCAATATCGCTCAGCATCAGGGAAATCCAAATCAAAACCTCAATGAGGGCGCCTGGGTGGCTCAGTTGGTTAAGCGACCGCCTTCGGCTCGGGTCATGATCCTGGAGTCCCAGGATCGAGTCCCGCATCGGGCTCCCTGCTCAGCGGGGAGTCTGCTTCTCCCTCTGATCCTCCTGACCCTCCCCCCTCTCATGCTCTCTTTCTGTCTCTCTCTCTCTCTCAAATAAATAAATAAAATCTTAAAAAAAAAAAAAAAAACCTCAATGAGATACCACCTCACACCAGTCAGAATGGCTAAAAGTAACAAGTCAGGAAATGACAGATGTTGGCGGGGATGCGGAGAAAGGGGAACCCTCCTACACTGTTGGTGGGAATGCAAGCTGGTGCAGCCACTCTGGAAAACTGTATGGAGATTCCTCAAAAAGTTGAAACTAGAGCTGCCGTATGATCCAGCAATTGCACTACTGGGTATTTACCCCAAAGATACAAAAATAGGGATCCGAAGGGGTACGTGCACCCCGATGTTTATAGCAGCAATATCCACGATAGCCAAACTGTGGAAAGAGCCAAGATGTCCATCGACAGATGAATGGATAAAGAAGATGTGGTATATATATACATACAATGGAATATCATGCAACCATCAAAAGGAATGAGATCTTGCCATTGGCAACGACGTGGATGGAACTGGAGGGTATTATGTTGAGTGAAATAAGTCAAACAGAGAAAGACATGTATCCTATGATCTCACGGATAGGAGGAATTCTTAATCGCAGGAAACAAGCTGAGGGTTGCTGGAGTGGGGGGTGGGGTGGGAGGGATGGGGTGACTGGGTGATAGACACTGGGGAGGGTAGGTGCTCTGGCAAGCGCTGTGAATTGTGCAAGACTGTTGAATCTCAGATCTGTACCTCTGAAACAAATAATGCAATCTATGTTAAGAAAAAAAAAAAAAGAGGGCGCCTGGGTGGCTCAGTTGGTTAAGCGACTGCCTTCGGCTCAGGTCATGATCCCGGAGTCCCGGGATCGAGTCCCGCATCGGGCTCCCTGCTCGGCAGGAAGCCTGCTTCTCCCTCTCCCACTCCCCCTGCTTGTGTTCCCTCTCTCGCTGTGTCTCCCTCTGTCAAATAAATCAATAAAATCGTAAAAATATATATCTTTAAAGAAATCCAGTTCCGGGACATCCGTGCCGTCCAACACTAGTACGGGGTGGGCGGGGGAGGTGCTCTAGAAGAGTTAAATATTGATGATGATGATGATGATGATGGAGAAGAAGAAGAAGGAGGAGGAGGAGGAGGAGGAGGAGGAGGAGGAGAACTGTTCCATGCTATTAAGGGTAAAACAAAAACAAGGCGTAGAACTTCCTCTGGCTCGTAAAGGGGGAAAAAAAAAATGGTTTGGGTTTTGTTTTTTGTTTTTTCTTTCTTCCTGTTTCAACTAAGCGCATTTCAGGGCACCTGACTGGCTCCGGTCGGAGGAGGCCCACGCGACTGCGACTCTTGATCTGCAGGGGTCGTGAGTTCCAGCACCATGCTGGATGATCACTCAAAAAGCTTTCAAAAACAAACACGCAAACAACCGACACCGAGCAGCATTAACCATCAAAGATACACACCTGTGACGAATACGACGTCAGAGGAAACCACGAGCAGCAGTAGCAGAGGATAGGACACTAGAGGGCAACAGAGCCCCATCCATAGGTGCTAGGGGCACTTGAACGCTTTCTGTGTCCACTAGGGACCTCGAAAAAACTTCACTCCCCTATCCAGGGAGGAGAGGGGAGAAGCAACCTCCAGCAAGAATTCCTTTGATTATCTTAATCGCAGGAAACAAACTGAGTGTTGTTGGAGTGGGGGGTGGGGTGGGAGGGATGGGGTGACTGGGTGATGGACACTGGGGAGGGTGTGTGCTCTGGTAAGCGCTGTGAATTGTGCAAGACTGTTGAATCTCAGATCTGTACCTCTGAAACAAATAATAATGCAATCTATGTTAAGAAAAAAAAAAGAAGAAGAAGAAGAAGGAGGAGGAGGAGGAGGAGGAGGAGGAGGAGGAGGTAGCAGGAGGGGAAGAATGAAGCGGGGGGAAATCAGAGGGGTAGACGAACCATGAGAGACGATGGACTCTGAACAACAAACTGAGGGTTCTAGAGGGGAGGGGGGTGGGAGGATGGGTTAGCCTGGTGGTGGGTATTGAGGAGGGCCCATTCTGCATGGAGCAGTGGGTGTTGTGCACAAACAATGAATCATGGAACACTTCATCTAAAACTAATGATGTAATGTATGGGGATTAACATAAGAATAAAATAAAAGAAAAAAAAAAGAATTCCTTTGATTAAAGGTAACTCTTACTACATTGAACTTCACCATTTCGGGGCACCTGGGGGGTGGCTCAGTCGTTAAGCGTCCGCCTTCGGCTCAGGTGACGAGCCCAGGGCCCTGGGATCGAGCCCCACATCGGGCTCCCTGCTCCGCGGGAGGCCTGCTTCTCCCTCTCCCACTCCCCCTGCCTGTGTTCTCTCTCTCGCTGTCTCTCTCTGTCAAATAAATAAATAAAATCTTTAAAAAGTAAATAAATAAATAAATAAATAAATAAATAAATAAATAAATAAATAAATAAATAAAATAAACTTCACCATTTCAACATGGACCTTTAATGGTTTCCTTCCCAACCAAGCCTTTCTCCTTGCCTCCTCCTTACCCGCGTGAATCCCTGATCCCACTTCACAACATCCCCCCCCCCACACACACACACCAGGCTGAAAACTGTTCTCTCTAAACCATAAATCCTGAGCATCAGGAAAGTACACGAGGAAACACAGACGAGAGAGAGAGAGAGAGAGAGAGAGAGAGAGAGAGAGAGACCAAGCAAATAATGTGGCTCTGAAGGCTGGACATCGATCGAGTTGAGAGAAAGGACCAGACATCACAAACTCGAAAAGAAGGTTTTCCTTTAAAGCTGATCTCTTCCTGAGTTGGCTAAACTACGTTCTTTACTGGTACGGCCTCCACTCAAGAGTGCGACGATCAAAAGAAGGTTTCGCAGTAAACACTTCACGGGTGCATCTATTAAAAAAAAAAAAGAAAAGAAAAGAAAAAAAAGGGCGCCTGGGTGGCTCAGTTGGTTAAGCGACTGCCTTCGGCTCAGGTCATGATCCCGGAGTCCCGGGATCGAGTCCCGCATCGGGCTCCCTGCTCGGCAGGGAGTCTGCTTCTCCCTCTGACCCTTCCCCCCTCTCATGTGCTCTCTGTCTCTCTCATTCTCTCTGTCTCAAATAAATAAATAAAATCTTTAAAAAAAAAAGTTCACGGGTGCAGGCTTCACATTGGTTTTTCAAGTACACGTATTTCAGGGCACCTGGCTGGCTCGGTCGGAGGAGGCCCACGCGACCGCGACTCTTGATCGGCGGGCGTCGTGAGTTCCAGCACCGCACTGGATGGGTGTACAGATTACATACACAAGCAGACAGGCAAAAGGAATTAGAATCGCTATGGTGATTTCGAAGAAAACAAAACAAAACTCAGGAAACAAAGTCGTCCTCTCCGGGCCCGTTTCATGCTTATGTATAGAGGCGATAGAGACCCTGTGATGTTGGCAGACAAAAGAGACAGGTCGGTGGATGGAACGCCACAGATACCCAAACAGATAGGCCCAAGCCCGACAGAAGTTTGACAAATGCGCAAAGGCCATTGGAAGGAGGAAAGACGGCCCACCTCCCCACGAAATCAGAGGGCAGGCATCAGACATCCACAGACCCAACACGCAGGCAAGCAGGCAGACAAAGAAACAAGAAAGCTGGGGCGCCTGGCTGGCTCAATCCGTGAACCGTCCGCCTGCCTTCGGCTCAGGCCCTGAGCTCAGGGTCCGGGGATCCAGCCCCACATCGGGCTCCCTGCTCGGCGGAGACTCTGCTTCTCTCTCTCTCAATCTCTCTCTCTCTCTCTCTCTCTCCCTCCCTCCCCCCTCCCTCCCCCCACCCCTCCTCTCAAATAAATAAAAGTCTTTTAAAAAGAATAATTTAAAAAAAAAAAAAAAGGAAGAAAAGAACGTCACTCACTCCCCTTCCGGCATAGGGAGGACATCTTCGGGGGGGGGCGGGGGATGGGGGGGATGCCTCTCGGGAGAAAAGGGGGAGATTCAGCGAGTCAGCGCACCCTCCTTGCACCTGTGTGTGGGGGGGGGGGGGGTGGTGGTTTGTGTGTTTCCTTGCCGCTGCTCGTTTTTTACAAGTGTATATAGAGTTCAAAACAGTATGCTGGTTTCCTTTATATCTAAGTCTTATCTCGGGTTTGGGTTCTGATGGGAGGAGGGAGGGCCACCTTTTCTTCCGACATGGTGGAGAAGGAGAAGAGGGATGCAGGCCTGTGCATATTCTTTTCCGTCGTGGGGTGAGCAGAGGACTCGGATTCAGCTCTTGCTGGATGGGATCTAATTTCTCTGTAAACAATCAGGCAAGATATCAGGCGAACAGAGGGCGAGCAAAGGTTAGCAGAACATGGACAAGATTGGCTATGGGTGCTGGAGTTTCCAAAGCAAGGATTTCATCAGAGGCACGTGAATGTCAAAGATTTCCAGGGACCATGTTCATGGATGACTTGGGGTATAGGTCATTTCAAAGTTACGGTGCTACCACCCGGTCACTTGAGCATACTGTCTCCAGCTCACGGCTGCAGATGCGATATGGGGCTCCTCCAGGGATGGAATTGTGCCAGAGAAAGGGAGACAGCAGCCTGTAATTGAGCCTAAGGTGTGTCTGAGAGAGTGACTCTCTAAAGTGCCTTGAGGCAGAAGGAGACCAGCTAGATTTGTCTTTGCTAGGTATTTGTGGCAATGGGGTCGGTGTGGCTGGTGGGTGTTGTCTGTTTATTTTCTAGATTCAGAGAAAGAACTCTTCAAGTGGAAGTATTTGCACAAGGGGTCTGGCAGGATGGGAGGGTGCAGGGGTCGGTCCATTTAACAAGATAACAGGAGGATCAGGCCTTTTAAGAACTAGGCAAAGAGAGGAGTTTAGCTTTGGTCATCACAGCACCTGGCACCTCAGCAGAAACAACAGAAGGTTCCCAGGATGAATTGAGTTGCAGGAGTCAGCGTGAGCAGACCCCACCACCCTCAGCCCTTATCCCTCAGCGCCCCCCCCCCCCGCCCCCCAGGCACACACACCCGGGCAGGCAGCGGCTATAGTCCACTCCGAGCTCCAGATCTGGGTCCCGCCCCCCCACCCCCACCCCCACCCCCACCCCCACAGGGCTCCCCTGTCCTCTTCTCAGCCAGAGATGTATATGGGAGGGTGGTCCCAGAACAAATCTCCCCTCATCCACGGAAACCTTGCCAACACTTCGACCACTTTGCCTGAGCTACCAACTCATCTGTACCCGTGCGTGATTTTTTCCCTATGGACCAGGGGCCTAGTTACCAACTTAGGATGGACAGCCCCCCCCCCCCCCCAGCCTACTGTTCCAATTCGACCAGAGGACTTCAGTTGGGGGGGGATGGGGGGGCTGGGGCTGGGGCTGGGGCGGCTGATGGGACGTTCAGGGTGATCCATTCTAATGGGCCTCATTCAATCGCTTCATTCAAATGCAGAAAGCTTTCTGTTAAAGTCAGAGCCTGGAGCTTCCCTCCATTCAATGGCTTTCCTCAACTCCCCCTAACCCTTAGGCTGCAGCTTGCAAACTTCGGAGAGAGATGAGGGAGGGAGGGAGGGAGGGACGGAAGGGAGGGAGGGAGGGAGGGAGGGAGGGAGGGAGGGAGGGAGGGAAGGGAGGGAGGGAGGAGGGGAAGGGGAAAGAGGGTGTCTGAAGAGCTCACCTCATCTGGGGGCAAAAAGAGTCCCCTCCTTTTCCTAACCCACGAAACTCCAGTAAACCCTTTGGGAATCATGAATGTGGGGGATGATGTCTTACTATACTGCCTTCCAGGGATGGGTGTGCAGGTAGGAGGGTGTGGCATGGTGTGGCTGGCTGAGTCTGAGGAGGACCTTGAACACATGATGGTGGTATCTTAGCGGTCAGAGGCCAAACACAAGCATGGAGTGATAAGGGCTAAGGGCTAAGGGCTAAGGGAGGCCTGACAGGGACCGTTCTAACTCATCCACCGAGTTATGGGCCCAGCAAGCACACTCCTCTAAATCAACATTAACAGTTTATTGATTGTTGGGGCACCTGGGTGGCTCAGTCATTAAGCATGTGCCTTCGGCTCAGGTCATGATCCCAGGGTCCTGGGATCGAGCTCCGCATCGGGCTCCCTGCTCCGCGGGAAGCCCGCTTCTCCCTCTCCCACTCCCCCTGCTTGTGTTCCCTCTCTCGCTGTGTCTCTCTCTGTCAAATAAATAAATAAATACAATCTTAAAAAAAAAAAAAAAAAACAGTTTATTGATTATCCATCGACCTGTCCTCCCTCTCCCACCTGCTTCCCAAGGGAAATCCTCGGTCTCATTCCACGTAGTCACTGGCTGTTTTCGCACACCACCTTCCTGTCCAGTAAGAGGAGGAAGGAAGATGGACAAACAGGAACCAGCCCCACAGATGGCACCTCTGCACAGAGGGGTGAGTGTGAGTCTCATTGGGCCAACTGTGACTCTGAGCCATGATCCCAGGGTTGTTTAAAATATGGAACAGAAGGAGCACCTGGGTGGCTCAGTCAGAACAGCACATGACTCTTGATCTCAGTCAGGGTCCTGAGTTCAAGCCCTACACTGGGACTACAGATGATGAAAAATGAATGAATGAATGAATGAATGAATGAATGAATGAATGAATGAATTTTTAAAAATAAAGTATGTAATGTTTATCTCTTTAAAAAAAAAAAATGGAATGGAGGGGCGCCTGGGTGGCTGCCGGTTGAGCATCTGCCTTCAGCTCAGGTCATAATCTCAGGGTGCTGGGATCGAGCCCCACCCCTCTGGGGCTCCCTGCTCAATGGGGAGTCTTCTCCCTCTCCCTCTGCCCCTCCACCCACCCATGCGTGCAAGCTCTCTGTCTCTCTGTCTCTCTGTCTCTCTGTCTCTCTGTCTCTCTCTCTCTCTGTGTGTTTCTCTCTCTGTCTCTGTCTCTCTCTGTGTGTCTCTCTCTCTGAAATAAATAAATAAAAACAAACAATCAAACTTCAAAAAGGAAAAGGGCAGGGACATTTATGATTATTCATGGCGAAAGTTGGAGCACGTATATTCAGGAAACATATGTACCATAGATTCCCATGTTTACTTCGGGGTGGAGACCTGACATCTGAATGAGGCAAAACTGAGTCCCTGATGTCAGGAGGTTATCTGAGGACAAGGAGAAGAGGCTGTGGGCATGCTCTGAGAGCTGGTACAACCTGGATGGGGTCTTAGGCTCCTTTTCTCAGGTAAGGAATCAGGACCTCGCTTCTTCATAGGCTGCAGCCATTATCAGTTGACCTTGAGTCCAGACTTCTGCAGAGACAGCCAGTATTTGGTAGCAGGGCCTGAAAAGACACAATAGCTGACTAGGGGGAAACAGTTCCCTGAAAAACCAGCTTTAAGCTTTCTGCTAGCATCAACCTCATTAACCTTATGGGGCACGGTTTCAATCCCCACCCCCACCCCCACCCCCACCCCCACCAAGTGAGGATCATTCCTCAGTCTTAGGGAATTGGGATGATGATGGCTGTGGCTATTCTTTCATCTCCTCAGGGGAGGTAGGTTTTGGGTAAACGACAGTTTCTGTAAATCTTAGCTGTAACATGGCTATGTTCAGGGCTAAACAGAAGTTTTTAACCTACAGGTTAAAAGGGAATAAAAATAACAGGGAGTCAGACATGCTACATTTTTCCCTGTTAAAATTTCCCCTTGTCCATCCTGCATTCCATTTCTATGACACATGGGCAGAGGTCTGCCTTCTTTATTTAACTGCTTCAAGCTGAATTAGGGTGCAGTAGAGGCTTTGGAATGGAAGGATCTGAGACACTGCAGGTCGCAATTTTTGGTCCCTTGTGCTAATGGAGGGGGTCTCAGAGATAGTTCCTTATCTGAGAACTTGGTTATTTTTCTACATGGTTTGGGACTACATGACACCATTGATTTTATCCCCAAGTGTAGTCTAAGGAATAGTAACAGTAGAGTCAAACCCAATTCTCTCATTCTCTCTCAAATTGATCTGATATCGGTGGGTATCCAAGAATACAGATCAGTAAATTAGTCTGAGCCCCTCCCCTGGGGGGGGGGCGGTAGGTTGTGGTGGTGAAGGGCTTCTGGTAGCCAAGTAGCTTAGTGTTTGATTTTATTTACATGGGTTCTTTTTTATTTTTTTTTTTCTTTAAAGATTTCTATTAAGTAATCTCTACACTCAATGTGGGGCTCGAACTCACAACCCCGAGATCTAGAGTCGTATGTTCTACCAGCTGAGCCAGCCAGGTGCCCCTATTTATATGGGTTCTTATTTTCCAAAGAGGAGTTAATACAGGTGCAGCAAGGTGGAATTAAGGATCATAGACTCTGCCTCATTCAGCAAGTGATCTTGTAGTTAATAAGAGGCATTTCTATGGAAACAAAAGGAAAACATGGTTAATGGTTGGAACAAGGGATACACCTGGTGTCTAAGTCCAGAGGGCTGCCAGTGAGAAGGTCTCTAGATGTCAGGCTTGAAGCATCCTCCAATAGAGTGGGAGTGGGCAGGGGCAATCTGACTAATTTTTCTGGCGTATAGTTCAAATGTCTCATTTTGAGTGACTCATAGAGCAACAGGCACAAAGATTGTCTATATATGAGTTATTGTGGTCATTTCCCTGAAATTTATTTCAAGTTGTCCAGCTTTCATTTGCCAGACTTCAGGAAAAAGGACAGTTTTAGTTCTTAATGATTGTAAGATAAGAGAATGGGAGAATGTTCTGAAACAAATAATGCAATATATGTTAAGGGGAAAAAAAGAAGAAGAAGAAGAAGGAGGAGGAGGAGGAGGAGGAGGAGGAGAAAAGGAGGAGGAGAAAAGAAGAAGGAGAAGAAAAGAAGAAGACGAAAAGAAGAAGAAAAGAAGAAGGAGAAGAAAAGAAGAAGAAGAAAAGAAGAAGAAGAAGAAGAAGAAGAAGAAGGAGAGAAGAAGAAGAAGAAGAAAAGAAGAAGAAGAAGAAGAAGAAGAAGGAGAGAAGAAGAAGAAGAAGGAGAGAAGAAGAAGAAGAAGAAGAAGAAGAAGAAGAAGAAGAAGAAGAAGAGAGAAGAAGAAGAAGAAGAAGAAGAAGAAGAAGAAGAAGAAGAAGAAGAAGAAGAAGGAGAAGGAGAGAAGGAGAAGAAGAAGAAGAAGAAGAAGAAGAAGAAGAAGAAGAAGAAGAAGAAGGAGAAGAAGAAGAAGAAGGAGAAAAGAAGAAGAAGAAGAAGAAGAGGAGGAGGAGGAGGAAGAAGGAGGAGGAGGAGGAGGAGGTAGCGGGAGGGGACGAATGAAGCGGGGGGAAATCGGAGGGGCGGACGAACCATGAGAGACGATGGACTCTGAACAACAAACTGAGGGTTCTAGAGGGGAGGGGGGTGGGAGGATGGGTTAGCCTGGTGGTGGGTATTGAGGAGGGCCCATTCTGCATGGAGCACTGGGTGTTATGCACAAACAATGAATCATGGAATACTTCATCTAAAACTAATGATGTAATGTATGGGGATTAACCTAAGAATAAAAAAATAAATTAATTAAAAAAAAGAGAGAGAATGGGAGAATGTTGGAAACCTTAGTTTGAAGAGTCACAGTCAGATACTCAAGGAAACCAGAAGGATCCAGGATCCAGTCCAGTTTTATAGGCAAACAATAAACGTTCAAAGATAATTAATCTAACACTCACAAAAGTGTGTTATTGAAATGTAATCTTTCTCTCTAAAGTCACCTTCATTCCTGTCAAAGATAGCCAAAAGAAGATTAATTTGTTTGTAAAACAAGTCCAGTTTTAACAAACTTGGCCCAATCATCTACGTAGGGACAGCAAGAATAGCAATTGACCATATATGGGGTCTTTCTTCTCTTTTCTTTTTCCTTTCCTTCTTTTAAATCTGCTTTGATGGAGCTTTTTACAAGGAATTTTAGATTGATCCTTTAACTGCCTTTTTAAAGCCGAGAACCAAGCCAAATATTGGCCATCAGATTCGCCTGCAAGACTTGTAGATTTGCGGAGGGGTAGACGAACCAGGAGAGACGATGGACTCTGAACAACAAACTGAGGGTTCTAGAGGGGAGGGGGGTGGGAGGATGGGTTAGCCTGGTGGTGGGTATTGAGGAGGGCGCATTCTGCATGGAGCACTGGGTGTTGTGCACAAACAATGAATCATGGAACACTACATCTAAAACTAATGATGTGATGTACGGGGATTAACATAAGAATAAAAAAAATTACAAAAAAAAAAAAGACTTGTAGATTTGGGTGAATTCCTCTCTTCTTTGAGGGCCTCCAAATTTCCTGAAGTTCCTGCATCTGCCAGGAGGTGGTACTCTTCACTCACCTGGTAAGGTTGAGGGGACCTCTCTAAGCAAGGTTATCAGGCCAACATTTCTAAGGGGCTTTACTGGCTCCATAAAGTCAATCTGACTTTCTTAAAGCAGTCTCACCATATCTGAGTCTACGCATGTGTCTCTTCGAGATGACAGTCCAGGGGCACCTGGCTGGCTCAGTCGGTAGAGAGCACGACTCTTGATCTCAGGGTTGTGAGTTCGAGCCCCACGTTCAGTGTAGAGATTATTTAAAAAATAAAATCTCGGAGGAGCGCCTGGGTGGCTCAGTCGTCAAGCGTCTGTCGGCCTTCGGCTCAGGTCATGATCCCAGGGTCTTGGGATCGAGCCCCACATCGGGCTCTCTGCTTGGCCGGGAGCCTGCTTCTCCCTCTCCCGCTCCCCCTGCTTGTGTTCCCTCTCTCGCTGTGTCTCTCTCTGTCAAATAAATAAATACAATCTTAAGAAAGAAAAAAAGAGTACACTAACAATCCAAGAAAACCTTGTCATTTTAACATAGAAAACCCAAATCTCAATCTTATACCAGTGTGCTTTTCTTCTTCTTTTTTTTATTCTTATGTTAATCCCCTACATTACATCATTAGTTTTAGATGTGGTGTTCCATGATTCATTGTTTGTGCACAACACCCAGTGCTCCATGCAGAATGGGCCCTCCTCAATACCCACCACCAGGCTAACCCATCCTCCCACCCCCCTCCCCTCTAGAACCCTCAGTTTGTTGTTCAGAGTCCATCGTCTCTCATGGTTCGTCCGCCCCTCCGATTTCCCCCGCTTCATTCGTCCCCTCCCGCTACCTTCTTCTATTTTTTTTTTCTTCTTCACATAGATTGCGTTATTTGTTTCAGAGGTACAGATCTGAGATTCAACAGTCTTGCACAATTCACAGCGCTTGCCAGAGCACCTACCCTCCCCAGTGTCTATCAGCCAGTCACCCCATCCCTCCCACCCCACCCCCCACTCCAGCAACCCTCAGCTTGTTTCCTGCGATTAAGAATTCCTCCTATCCGTGAGATCATAGGATACATGTCTTTCTCTGTTTGACTTATTTCGCTCAACATAATACCCTCCAGTTCCACCAGTGTGCTTTTCAAACTGCCTTCTCCCAAGCTCAGTCAGTCCTGACCATGCATAAAATTCCTTTTCAAAAATTCTCCTTCACAAACCCCTTCCACAATTTCCTTTTTCATTCAGACTCGGTCTTAAAGTTTTCTTTCTTTAAGTACCCAGTCCCGTTTCAGTACACCATTACTTCCTTTTCCCTCAACAAAAAAAATGTTTTCTCATTTCTTGTACCTCTTTTACACGTCTCCTACCTTCCCACACACGGAGTTGTTTTTGTTATCATTTTGTAGCAGTCCCAATTCCATGTGGCAGAATTTTAATTCTTAGAAATCTCAGTCTCTGGTGAAACGTTAGTAGTAACCAATGGCGCACTCTCTATTACACCAGAATTCTTTAGATTGGCAAATGTATGAATATATTTCATAAATTTTATTTATTTGACAGAGAGAGACACAGCGAGAGAGGGAACACAAGCAGGGGAAGGGACAGAGGGAAAAGAAGGTTCCCCAATGAACAGGGAGCCCAATGCGGGGCTCGATCCCAGGACCCTGGGATCATGACCTGAGCCGAAGGCAGACGCTGAACGACTGAGCCACCCAGGCACCCAAACGTGGTTGGTTGGTTGGTTGGTTTTTATAAAGGTGATGGAGAGGTATATTTTGATAACCACAAATACAGGCTCACTGTTGTGACGGGAGCGTGGCACATTCCACTGCCCACCCAACGGCTTGTAACGCAGGGAGAACCGAATCCAAGTGCTTTTATGACAAAGAAAAGAAAGAAAAGGAAAGAAAGAAAGAAAGAAAGAAAGAAAGAAAGAAAGAAAGAAAGAAAGAAAGAAAAAGGGAAAGAAAGAAAGAAAGAAAGAAAGAAAGAAAGAAAGAAAGAAAGAAAGAAAGAAACGCAAAGTTGATTATTTGTATTATGTGTGACATTGATAGCTCCAAAACCACGTCTTTTTAAAATAAACCAACAACCTTGAATTGGCTTTAACGCCAAAGAAGTTGCACCTGCGTCCACTAAAAAGTCAATCGATTGTTTTCCCCCATCAGACTCCTTGGGGAAAGTCTGAAGCGGGCGGTCTAAGATCAGCGGAGCCCTCGGGCCCCTTCCTGCTAGTTTGGGAGGTGCTCCAATTTAAACCTCATAAGGAGGTGGCCCAAGGGCTTGGGCCCAAGGGCAAGGGCTTTTGCTCCTTGATAAGGGGGTGGGGAGGAGGAGGAGGAGGAGGAGGAGAAAGGGGAGCCCATGGCACCCGGGGGGGGGGGGGCGGGGGGGGCGGGGGTAGGGAAGGGCGGCTGAGACGGCGGCAGGGGAGTAGAGCACTCCAGGCACACACACCAGTGGTGCAGAAACGGGGCAGGGGAGGCGGCAAGGGAGCCATTGGTAAGGCCCAGGGCACATATACATTTACAGTTTTGGACGAACCTTTTCTTTTTTTTCTTCTCCGCCTCCGCCTCCGCCTCCGCCTCCGCCTCCGCCTCCGCCTCCGCCTCCGCCTCCGCCTCCGCCTCCGCCTCCGCCTCCGCCTCCGCCTCCGCCTCCGCCTCCGCCCCTTTCTTCATCTCCTTCTGCTTAATAGGCTTTGTCTGTGGTGGCTTTTCAGCCCTCCGGAAGCCAGTGGGTTGGGCATCGGTTCTGGTGCCTGTACTTGGGGAGGAGGAGGAGTGGATTTCAGATTTCTAGCATCGGCCTGTCTTCCTCCTCTTCTTCATTATTTTGACTGTTGGGAAGTGGGGGTAAGGTCAGGTGTGTTAAATTTTTGTCTATCTCTGGGCCGTCCCTTGGGTCCCTTACCTTGAGGCATCTTTATTGTGGAGTGACATAAGAGTCTGAATGTAGGGAATTTCATCCCAGATCATGTGAGCTTGAAAAACTGGGTTTATTCTTATCTGAGTTTTACCATGCCCGATTTTTACGAGCACCTGCCTCTAAACTCTTTAAGTAGGGGCACCTGTGTGGCTCAGGCAGTTAAGTGTCTGCCTTGCGTTCACATCATGATCCTGGGGTCCTGGGATGGAGCCCCACATCCGGCTCCCTGCTCCGCGGGGAGTCTGCTTCTCCCTCTCCCAATGCCCCCCCACCCCCAGCTCGTGTGCTCTCTCACTCGCTTTCTTTCAAAGACATAAATAGAATCTTTAATAAAAATAAAACTCGGGGCACCTGGATGGCTCAGTGGTTAAGCGTCTGCCTTTAGCTCAGGTCATGATCCGAGGGTCCTGGGATCAAGCCCCTGCATCGGGCTCCCTGCTCGGCGGGAAGCCTGCTTCTCCCTCTCCCACTCCGCCTGCTTGTGTTCCCTCTCTCGCTGTGTCTCTCTCTGTCAAATAAATAAATAAAATCTTTAAAGAATAAAATAAATAAAATAAAATAAAATAAAATAAAAATAGAACTCATTAAATAGAGCTCCTTTACAAATGGATGTTAGCAATAGCACCCGGAGGTGGAGGAAATACCTCACATGTATAACACATACGGACACATAGACACAAACAAGATGCAAACAAATTTTAGCCTTTGTTTCAGTCTTATTTGTGGAGAGGACATGAATGGAGAGGACACGAAAGACCCAATGTTCAAATCTCCCTCTTTTAGTAAAACAAATGCAACTGCGAAGCAGCATTACCGTGTACAGATCCCACCCGTCAGTTGTTTTCCATTCCCAATGGAAACAGGGTCGGTTTTATGCAAAGATAGCAAAAGCTGCAGCAACCAACCAACCAACCAACCAACCAACCAACCAACCAAATGAAGACCAGAGCATCTCCCTGAGTGTTGGTTCCTCCCCAAAAGTCGGGGCTTCACTGAGGGAACCAAAGAGCTTCCTAGTTTCTGATCACCCAGTCTCCTAGCAGGCTTTCTCTAATTGTGTACACAATTCAGACATGTCAAAAGAACCCCGCTTGGGCCATCTGAGACTCATGTTATCGTGAAATGTTTCCCATGCAAGTAAGCACTTGCAAGTATAGGCTCCCTATGCATTGTACATGTAGCGTGCAGGTGTTTCTTGTGAGGGTGGGCCGTTGTTTCCTCAACATTTGGTGCAGGGTTCTACAGAGTTTTGGTTTGTTTCGTTGGTTTGGTTTTCTGCACACGTGTGTGTGGGGGGGGGGTGTGGTGTGGTGTGTTGTGTGGTGTGTATCTGTGTGCACGGTATCTATCGCTGCTGCGCAGCTAGCTGATCCTCAGGGTGCATCATCCTAACACCGCAATGGCTCGAAACAGCATTTCTTTATCGATAACTTCCTGGTGCTTGCCCTGGGTGGCCCCTTGGGTTCTGCGGGTTTACGCCGGGCTCACTCAAGCAGTGGCTTTCGGCCAGAGGGTCAACTTTCACACGTCTGGCAGTCGGTGCCGCCGAGCACCGGGCTGCCTCTGTTGTCAATGCCTCTCATGCTCCAGTCAGCTAGACTGGCTTTCTTACGTGGAGGTCTCAGGACGGCATGCCAAGAAGGTCGAGAACGCCGGCAGACCACCTCTTCAGGTGTAGGCTGTGAAACCAGCCAAGTGTCACTTCTGCTCTATTCTTTGGGTCAAGACAAGTCCCAAGACCCGGTCCAAAATCAAGGGACAGAGCAATCAAGCCTACCTCTGGATAGCAGGAGCATCGAAGTCATAGGACGTGAGGGTGCACACGTGCCGGGACGTGAGGGACACACGGTTGTCGGTCTGCCACAAGGGATTCCTAAACCCTATGCCGCGATGCACATTTTTGCAAAAGTAAGCTTTACGTTTTAGCATCTAAAACATGATTTCCTTTGAATCAACCCCTAGAATTGGATTCACCAGGAAGAAGGGGAAGATGCGTTTTCCAGCCTCTTGATACAGAAGCTCTTGATTTCCAGAGGGCACTTGGAGGACCCTTCACCAGTCTCTGCTTTGTAAGGCGGGGGGAATTTTTTTTTTTTAAGATTTTATTTATTTATTTATTTGTTTGTTTGTTTGTTTGTTTATTTATTTGAGACAGAGAGAGAGAGAGAGAGAGAGAGAGAGAGAGAATGAATGAGAGAGAGCACATGAGAGGGGGGAGGGTCAGAGGGAGAAGCAGACTCCCTGCTGAGCAGGGAGCCCGATGCGGGACTCGATCCAGGGACTCCAGGATCATGACCGGAGCCGAAGGCAGCCGCTTAACCAACTGAGCCACCCAGGCGCCCAAGGCGGGGGAAATTTAATTGGCCAACCCCCCATGAAAAAGCGACCGATCACGTTCCGACGTCCGAATTAAAGGCAGGCTTCCTTTTTAAAGGCATCCATAGAGCAGCCAGCTCCGTGGCAAGGAGCCGGACTTCTGTGTGTCTGATGAGGAATCCCATTCTCGGCATAAAGGCAATCTCGGGGAGCAGTCGGAGGCAGACCAGATCTCAGATCCACCAAACCCAAGAAATCCCTTGTGATCTGAATGGCTGAATTTGTTGAGGTTTCCCTCCCGATGGCTAAGAAGATGCCTTCCTATCACAGATGACAAAACACAAACCAACAAAACCCCGATAGCTGGGCAGGGTCTTCAAGAAAGGGCCCCTTTTTCATGGAAGCCAACTCTTCCATCTCGCGCCACCCGCCATCATGGAGAGGAAGTCTCTCGGGATGAACGAATGCCTTTGCAATCTACGTTAACCGACTCTCTTTTCCGATAGGCTGACACTCTTTCCCCTCGTGGACACGTCCCGAGATCGGCAGGCTTCGGTGCATCGGTCTTCTGTGCACCAAAAGCCGTGCGAAGGCCCCTGTCGTCGAAATGTATTCGGCATGGACGCTAGTGAAGAATTTTAAACCAGTCTAGCCCGGTTCAGTCCTTCAGTCCTTTTTTTTCTCATTTCTTACATGACCGCTGTGTCCTAAAAGGATACAACTGAGGAAACTCCAGATGGAACAGAGGCAAAGGGAAGGGGGGCAGAGCTTCCGTGTTCCGTGACCCCTCTCCAGGAACGCCTCTGTCCCCACCATTTCAGGCGTTCAAGCAACCTGGAAGCTCCCCGAATTAGGTTAGTTCTTCTTCGAAGGGGCGGGGGTCGGGGTGGGGAAGGTTGGGGAGCGCCGAGGTTTGGAAACATTGCAGGGCAATCAAGGCTATTGCCAAATCTCGAGTCCGTGCAGAGGTACGTAAGGTACACGTAAGGCCGGGATGGGGGGCGTGGCGTGGCGTGGCGTGGCGGGGCGGGGCTTGGCGGGGCGGGGGTGGGTGGGTGCGCGCGCCTGGCGGGGAGGGTTGCGGTGTGTGTCCATGTGCGTTCAGCAGGTGTAGGGGAGGAAGAATGTTCCCTCTAACTTCCCTTTCTACTCCCTGTTGGGGGAGAACAGTGAAGAGAGCCCGGGTGAGGGCGAGGGCGACGGTGACGGCGAGGGCGACGGTGACGGCGGGTGGGGGCGAGGCGCGGACAGGAAGGGGGGAGGGGTAGTAGAGGTGTTTATTTCTTTTGGCGGTGATGGAAATGTTCTGGAAATTGCAGTGAAGGTTGTGCAGCTTTGTGAGCCACCTTAAAAAAAAAGAAAAAAAGGCCACCCAATGGCCCACTTTTAAGAGTATGCGAAATATGGCATGCGAATTGTATCTCCACTTCGAAAATCTGTGACGAAACAATGTGATGGACATAGGGAAGGAGGGAGGGACGGACGGGACCCTCACCCTCACCCTCACCCTCACCCTCACCCTCACCCTCACCC